AGAAATAAAAGTAAACAATAAAACTGCAATGGAAACAATAAAAAGGAATGAGACTGTAATAAACTACATAATTATTTTAATGGAAAAGAAAAAATCTGTGATGTTGAATTTGCAATTCAGATAAAAAATTAAGAAATCTGAGAACTGTTTACTGGATCTTAAGTATGACATATATATAAGAGCACTGAATTTCTTAAATTTTCAATAAATTAAAACAAATACTTTATTTTTATGAAATCAGGCTTTTTTCTTGTCTCCTATTCCACAGTGCAGTGCCTTAATTATGGGTTCTCTTTGTTTTATTATTGTATATATATGTGTACGTGTATTCTATTTAACTTTTACCGATTGCTGGTTAACCTGTTAAGTGCAAATTTGTTACAAACTTCTCTTGACTATTGTTCAAATAAAAAAAAGAAGAAAATTAGCATAAAAAATTATACCACAAAGTTTATACGAATTGTTTTGCCTGAACTCTAAAGTTCTATATAAATATTTGTTTCTATTTTACTCTTGATGTTCTTGAAATATTTTGCAAAAATAGAAAAAAGTTTAAATAACAAAGATAAAGTGGATAAATGGAGAAATACAATCGATCACAACCAACTATATTGTACCCTATATCAAGTGGTATCATTCTTTCATCATTAGTTCTTAAAACGTTTCATCATGTCTATTAGCAGCTGTAAATATATCAACATTCACAAAGATTTCCTTCAAACTAACAATTATTAAAATTGTATAATATACAACACGGCGTATATGTGTTATATTAAATCACTAATGTAATCTACATTACGTATACGTACACTCAAATAATTTTAACATTTACTGTTTGTAGTTTATTCAAAAAGTTTTCTGTAAAGTTAAAAATTAATGAAAAATCTTTTATTTTTCGAATAAATTAAATTTTTAACATTTTGGGGTGTTGTTAAAAAATTAAACTGCACAAAAAAATGTTTTTTCCGTACAGTTATTATTATCAGTTAAATTTTTGTTTCAAATACATAAAATCAAATTGTCATAAAAATAGAAAAAAATTATATTTGTTTAATAAAAATATTAATTTCTTCAAGAACCATATTGAGATGTTTCATAATGGATTGTTTTAAAAGTAAATACCGCGATTATAGATACTGTAAGTTTTTGTTGACAATTTAAAAAAATGTTTTAAAAAGATCTGTTTTTATCAATAGTTGTAGATGCGGTATAATAATAATGGATAAGATTTTTGTATATAAGTTAAGGTAAGAATTCTTTTTTGTTTTATCCCTTATAACTTTAATTTTAACATATTTTACAATTTGTTACATATTTTGGAATTCGCAGCTATATCGAGAGAAGTGAGAGCTGTTCTACCTCCGATAAAGGCAAATACATCGATGTACATCACAACATTGAAGAGTTATAGCATTTTTGGGATTACGTTTCAGTCATATCGAAAACAGCAAGCCATGATACGTGTTTGAATCCAATATAAATGATGCCAGTACCACAACCGAAGCGAAAGGAGACTATTAACGAAATTTCTATTAGCATACGTAGCGGTTTAACAATTAATAATCCGTATTATACATATTTAATCTTTAACAAATGATCACAATAAAACTAAAATCTAAAGAATCTGTTGGATTTTTTTATGTTAGGGTTTTGGGTAAAAATAAATGAAAAAAACTGTAATTTTTAGTGATATTGTAGGTAAAAATTGTCATTCAAAACAACTGAAAAAATCAGTAAATTTTACTGTTTTTGTAGGTAAAAATTTGTCAGTAAAAACATCTGAAAAAACTTTTGTATTTACATAATTTGTTAGTTAAAAAATCAACATTTAAAAATAACTGAAAAACTCATTTGAAATAAATGAAAAGTTTGTAGTCCGTTTTTTAAATGATATTTTACTTGTTTGAAATGATTTTTCAGTTGAATTTACCTACATAATATATTGAGTGTATAAGTACTTAAGTACTTTGAAAGTATATTAGTGTATATTTTTTATAATTTACATAGAATTTGAAGTTGTTTTTTCTTGCTAACAATTTCTATTGATCCTTTAGAATTTGTTGTATATCTGCTATATTCCTGAATGCAAAACTAAACATGCGTTAAGGTAATTTGATTTCAAATACCTACATTTTTTGATATTTGTTAAAAAAAAGATATACTGTCTAAATATTAGGAGGGTTGCGCAAAATAATTTACGATTTATTATAAATACGAAACGTTATTAAGTGGTTTATCATAACACAAGTCTAAAGGCTTAACGCTAAAAAGTTTAAATTTGGTCCAAATGTATGAACAATTTTAAAACCATAAAATTTATTTCCATCAAATTTGTTTGTGCAAATTTGGAAACCATAAAAAGTTGCTCCAAATAGCTCTTTTGGTACTTCAGCTCTTTTAGCTATCAAGCCTTATATAGGACAATGCAAAAGCATTCGATGTATAGGGAGCAAATTCAAAAGCATGTTCCAAAATAACCGACTCCATGGTATGAGTCAGTGTAAATGATCTCCACCAGGATATAGTCTCATTACTTTACGGATATAGGACTCGAGTCAAAAAGTAAACTCAGTTTGAGATAAAACGAAAACACTTGGTTAATGTAGACAACGTATAATTAGGAACAAAAGTCGCATGCTTTAGGTGAGCGCATGCCAAACGGCCTGATATGACACTTTCATAAGTGTAACAATGTCCCTGAAAAAAGTGGCATAAAGTCCTTGAATTACAAATAGTTCATTTGTCATGAAAAGGCTTAATATAGCGAATCCGGTATTCGAAATTCATTGGAATATAAATCCACTGCGCCCGGCCGAAGACCGGCTAACCAGGACACTTTTTTAAATGAATCCAAAATAAAACCTACACTAAAGTTACGAGCAATTCTATTCAGGACTTTCTGAAATCCTTAACAAACTTTCCAATGCCTTTATATTTTAATAGTGTCACAAAGGCCAGTGGACATAATGAAACTTTTGAAATTGGACGTTATGTCCATGAACACTATGACTTTTTTTTTTGTGTGACATAACGTCCATAGACATTACGATAAGCCACCCTTTCCCAACCACAGGAATCCATAAGCCAAAGACAAGTTCTTACTCACAGGGGACACACTGTGGTAAGTCTGGTATGAATTGACAAGGAAGGGAAATTCAATGGTATATTCTCCATAAGATGCCGTACATCCATCACCAGCACTATACTTATTTATCCAACATATTCATAGAGAAAACAGCGTTAATATATATTCTAGGTATACGAGAGAACTAGGCCCGTATACCACTTCATTCAATCTGAATCTTATTCATTTGACACCTACCCGCTTTTCACCGCTTAGCCCCACAGTCATCCCTATGAAAAGTGTCTGTTCTCGTTTACAGCAACTGCCGAAATATAGATTTCACCGTATATCAGTCTTGGAATTAAACAAGACTGATACCACGTGCACCCCGAAGAGATCTCTTCAATAACCGGGACAAAACAAAGTCCGAAACTCTGCCCTGCTGGCTACCGGTTGCCATGCTAACAGATAAGATTGAAGCTCTGGTTCGACCCCAAATCAAATCATTCCAAGGAAAGGCCGAGGATACATTTGACACAACCAGTTTATGGTCCGGGCAGGCTAGTGGTACTAGTAGCAGCTCTTTTCCCCCAGATTGCAGTCCAACCAAGATGGGGAAGTTCATCAAGGTATCGTGCCCCCGGGGGATCATAACTTGTAACTCTTAGGCGATATTATTACACCAGTGCGTGTGGGGGAAACGCAAAACTGTCGAAAGTCAAACAAGAGTATTGGCGAGAGTTGTTCTTCAACACAGACCTTTGTTTCAGTGTGAACATCTGAAATGCTTTAGAGGTGGTCATATACCAGTTATAAGGACTTTGATTGGACATTTTTAAGGAATGGTAGCAAGTAATGCTATAGGACAAGGTTCTTTATTTAACAAATACCAGTTTTTGTAAAATTTTTCTTATAATTTTAATTTTTATTCCCTTCACCTTTGTCATTCTGAAATTTCCATAGTTCTGGATCTTTACAGACAGCGGATTCGATTAAGCCATGTCTGCCTGTCTGTCTGTCTGCCTGTCTGTCTGTCTGTCTGTCTGTCTGTCTGTCCGTCTGTCTTTCTGTCTGTATGTCTGTTGAAATCAATTATATTAAGACCCTTGATATCTTTGGGATCTAAATCTTCAAAAATTCTATCTGACATGCTTTGGAAATCACCAAAATCGGTCCATAAATAACGAAGATACGAACCAAAATCCAAGACAACTTCTGAAAAGTTAATTCTATGAATGAAATGCAAACTTTTTTGAAAAAGACATATGGACAGACAGACGAACTTCACTAATTTTTCTTCACTATCTATAAGGACTCAATTTATATTCAGTTTATATTTAGTTTAAAAATTCCACTATTAATTTCAAAAAGCCCTCGTTTTTTATGTGTAAAACTAATATTATATACATACGTACATTACATCTGTCTAAATAAATATAAAATTTTTTAACAACAATATTTTCTCAATATTACCTTATTTATTTAGTGGCAGTCATGTAGAGTGGAACAGCAGCTCTGACAGGAAATGTGATTCAATAAAAAAAAATGCGATGCTGATGAAGACATGTACTATAGAGTTTCTTTTAGCTTTTATTTTCTTTAAAAATTTTTTACAAACACATATTTTAAACACATGTTTAGAATTTATTCAGTTACACCGATACACTTGTAAATATTTAAGTATTTACCAAACACATTTTCTTAAGTTACACACACACACACATATGTATGTTCATCATATTTTTTTCATGCACATCCGGTTTTGTTAGAAAGTGTATGAAAGAATGAGTTAGTGAGTGAGAGAATGAGTGATTGCAGTAGTAGAGTAGTAAGCAGATAACAGTTATTTAAATATAAAAGCTATGGGTATGTTTGATTACATATAAGTCTTCATTTTGAATAGATTTATTCACTTAAGAAATCTTAGTTTTTTTTGAGTTTTCTTATACAATTTTCTTTAAACTAGTTTATATCTTTAAAGTTTTTATGTTTTCTTTTCTAAGATGCTAGTTAAATATTTAAATATATAAAACCTTTAAAATTCATTTCATGTATAGGTTTCTGTTTATCCTGCCAGCTTGCTGGTTGTTATCTGCAATGAAATAGAAAATAATTGTTAAGAATTTATTTTTAATTTAAAAATCTTTTTTAAAAATTGCAATTTATTTTCTTTTAATTAACAGATTTAAAATTAATGCCTTAAAATTAACATACTCAATTATGCTAGTGAATGAATAAGTAAATAATATTTATTTTAACTCTAGCAAATATTTGTCATTATTATATAAAATTTTAACTTGGTTAACAAAACTAGCTTTTTGATTACTTAAGTGTCAACACAAATATCCTATTAAAAACCACAAAAATTACACACACACACAAATAGTAATAAACCTTTTTGCCATTTTATAATCAAACAAAATTTATAACAAACTCTTTACATATAAAGCAGTTTTTCCTTTATAAATTTCCAAAACTAAGTAAATTTGTTAAATGACCAAACAAATTATAATGTAAAGTATACATACGCACACATACACACACCCACATTACTACTTGCTTAACACCCATTCCCTTCTTCTTCTACTTCTATTTATGCAAAAAAGGTATAAAACATTTTATTTTAATAATAATATGAAAATGCTTACTAACACATATGCTTACAAGGATTTTTCTTATAATGTGTTTGTGTGTGAGTATTTGCGTATGTTCAAGCATATGTGTGTTTTAACAGTTTTTCCTTATTCTTTTATAATGAAATGAAAAATTATGGAAAATTTTATATAAATATTTACATGTACTTTAATGCACACAATTAAACTTTAATTTTTATTATTTACTAGCTATACCCAGTGTACTTTGCTACCCTAAAAGCAATATAAATAAAAAAACTTACTTACACATGGGAAATGCCAATTCGACTATTTTTCCGAACTCTAATAAGGAGTATATTGTATTTAATATGGGATGGGCCAATCTCCCCATTGACAGTCCGTCCATTTTTCTCTAAATGTTCACATGAATGTCAAAGTTCTTCATGTAAAATTTGAAGATTCTAGCTTCTAGAGTATCTCAGATATACAAATTTTTCTATATAATTCGTATGCAGATTCCAAGCCACCCCCTGATGAAAGTCCGTTTTTTCCCCCAAAATGTACAAATGAATATGAAAGTCCTTTGTGCAAAATTTTGGAAATCTAGTTCTATTAGTTTGTTGGATAAAAGATTTTTTTTGTATTTAATTCATAAGAGAGGTGCCGCTCCCCCCATTGGTAGTCCGCCAATTTATTATCCAAAATATTTACATGGATGCTAAAGTTCTTCGTGCAAAATTTGAAGCTTTTACAACTAATAGTTTCCAAGATAAACGAATTTTTGTATTTAATTAATATGGGAGTTGCCACGCCCCCTGCTGCTAGTCCGCCCACTTCTTATCCTAACTAATCATATTGACTCTTGTGTAGCTCATACCAAATTTGTGGGCTCTAACTGTTATATTTTTCGAGATATACTGATTTAATATTTTTTAATATAGAAGGTGCCACGCCCATTCTGCCCATTTTGTCCAAAAATATTCTTATGGATGTCAAAGTTGTCCGTGCAAAATTTGAGGACTCTAATTGCACCAGTTTCTAAGGTATATAACTTTTAATAGTTATTTAATAAGTAGGCGTGGCACCTCGCCTATTGTTACTGGTCCAGCCGTTTAGCCGTCTATTGACTTCAAACAAACAAACCCATAAACAAATAAACACACATTAATTTGTATATAGATAGAAGATATGCAAAGTAAATAACCCAGTAACCCATAATACTTAAAGAATTGGAGTAATTACTCGATGATTAAGCAGGGCCACAAAATTCCAAAAAAGACGAAACCCTGAGACCAAGTTATACCTCAGTTTTTCCCCTTCACATCTGGGATTTGAGATATCGTGTTCTGAAGTTTGAAAAAACACACTTTTTGACCTTTTTAAGACTTTATAACAGCGCCAAGACAAAGTTTCTTCTGTCAGCTTTGAAATGAAGACTTAATATCTGACATGTCTTTCTGAAGCCAGATTCGGATTCAGCTTAGCTCAATCCTTTAGAAAAGTATACTCGGACACTCTCTTTAATTCGTTTTTGAACTCAAAAGATGAAAAATTCTATTCGCACAGAATCCTATCCTATCTTAACTAAATTGTTTGTTTTGTTCTAATTTGTATGATACAACAAGATACAACATGATACAACATGATACAACATAAAACTCTCATGGAGTTTTCCTTATGCAACATACAACTTTTACCATAGATTGTGATTTGTATAATTGTTTTTTATTTCCTCTATATCCATACAATCAATCGTGCTCAATCATGTTATATCCTTTTAATAATTGCTGTTATTTTTCTTATTTTTTCCTTTTATCCTTTTTTTGCTAAAATTAAACACAATCTTCCTTTTTTTGCAACTGGTTTATAAAAACACACAAATTTCATGAATTAACAAAAAAAAGTTAAATTATTATCAAAAAAGCAACAGACTGCTACTTAATGCTGAACAAACACATACAATAACACTAATACAATTATAAAATTACATATCATCGCATCGGTACCTGCCAGGATGTGAAACTATTCTCAAACCTTAAACATTGTGGCAAATTTTAGGAGGAAATCAACTAATATTTTATGGACTTGAAACACATTTCACTTCGATTACAAATGGACAATCGACTTGACAACACTCACTACTACTGGTGAGCTCTAAAACTAAGTTATTTTTAAGGTTCAATACAGAATTGACAGACAATTGACTACATTTTACATTACATGGGAATAGAGAAGTAACCTTTAACTTCCGTCTGTTCAACTAAAAGCTAATGACCTAAAAAGTATACAAATAACGGGTCAAGCTAATAGTTAAATATTTGAAGAAATTGTTGTTTTAAAGGGATACATTGAATACTTCAAAAACTGTTAGGATTGTCATGTAATGCATGTATACATACTGGTCCTAGGAATAGTATGATTCCTTAAATATGTATAAGTAAGAGTTTATATGAAATTTGTGACATTAGGGAAGTTTCTTTTCGTACTCAGGGCAAATATAACTGATGTATTCTCTTTAAAAAAAAAGAAGTACGTTTATGAATACTTAAGCACTATTGCCAAGGATTCCCTTATAAAGTCCATCTTCAATGCAAACTATAAAGAATATTTATAAAAAGTTTTACTCCTCTAGCTTCTTCTGTTTGGACGCTATGGTACTAAAATGGTGGATAGAGGACAGATGGACTGAAATATGGAAGGACAGACAGAAGGATAGACAGGTGAAATAACGGACATAGTTTGATCATCTTAGAATATTATAAGGCTCCAGAATGATTCGAAAAAAGAATAACAACATCAATATAATCGCCATCTTTTCGAAATTTCTATATGAAAGGTATTACCAATTCGATCCGCAATTTTGCAATTTAGAGTTAGAGTTTGTTTTATCAAAACATATAGAAAAAAGTTTTTTTTATGCTTAAGCTGTATTCCATAGGATTCGCTTATAAAGTCTATTTCACATACAAATTATCTATAAAGAATATTTATGGAAAGTTTAAGTCCTCTAGCTTCTTCGGTTTGGACTTTATCGTGACAAAAAGGCGGACAGACAGACAGTCATACAGACAGACGGACGGACGGACAAAAATATGGACAGCCAAGCAGATGAAAGAACATAGTTTGTTCATCTTAGTATATAATAACGTTCCAGAATGTTTCGAACAACAAAAAATCGCCATTTTTTCGAAAATTCAATGTGAAAGTAAGTACAAATTCAATTCGCTTTGACATTTTATTCCTATTCTATTTCATGGATTATAAAGTCCATTTTCAATACAAAATATCTATAAATATGCTTTCTTCCGTTTGGACTCGTGACCAAAAAGGTGGACTGACGGACAGTCAATCACACAGATGGACAGACAGACACACAGATGGACAGACAGGCAGGTGAATGATAGCACAGAGCTTGATAATTTTAGAGTGATAATGTTCCAGAATGTTTTGAAAATAGAATAACCAAATCAATATAATCTCCATCTTTTCGAAAATTCTGTATTCCGCTTTGATATTCTACTCCTAATGCATAGAAATTTTGCAGTTTGCATGTTTGTCTATAGTCAATGTTGAATGGTAGGTGGTATTTTCTTCTACTACCTAAATGTATTTATATTCTTGATATTATCATCGTTGGTGGTTGATTTTTTCGGTACAAGGTTTTTCTATAAATTCTTTATTTTTTCATTGTCGTAACACTTTTGCAAAAGAAAAAAACTAAAACACTATAGAATTTAGTTGCAAAAAAAGAAACAAGACTAAAAATGAAATGATAACAACAATATTGTTTGCTTTAACTGTTGAAAATATATGATAGCAATTTAAAACCACACACTCACACACACATACAAATACATATTAATGTGGATTTTAGAACATATACTAGTTTGAAACAAATTCACATACCTTTGAAGGCATAACCAGCAAACATTGTGATAAATGTTTGAAAAAATAAAGTTATAGGGACAGTTTTTGCAACTTAATAACAACAAATCATTCTAATAACTTTTCAAAAATTAATATTGAATCGTTAGATTAATGACAAAAAGGTGTAAATATTTTGCAAATGTAATGTTGGGACGTTTTTATTCTTAAATCATTATCAAAACATTCGCTTTATAACAATAAGTTTGTTTTAAATTTATGTTAAAATCTTAATGTTTGCTGGGTTTGCCACCAAAATAAACTTCATTATTATATAAATATGCACATGCTGTGTGCATAAATTATACATACTTAGATTTTCTGTAGGTATATTCGTGTGTAGGTACTTTTAGATGTAGCTATAATTTTTCTTATACATTCAAGGACCTACGACACTATGGACCAGATAACAGTTTCACGTAAGCATTTCACAATTTAAACATTTTTAAATAGTTTATGGATAAGTTTCTCACTTGGAAAATGCTTTAATGTGGGTCATACTATGTCCATATTGGGAATAATTATTATTCTATCTATAGATCATATTTGAATTGAATTTTACCACAGGAGCTTT